ATATATCATCATTACACGCGACACGACAACTTCCGGGTTTCATGTGTGTTATTTACGCGCACGAATAACCAACAACCGTTTACCATTTGAAAGTCAGCGTATTGCAAGTAACCTTCCCTGTTCTTCCCAATTGGCAGAAGGTACAAAAATTTCTCACTTCACATTATTTGATATGCAGGATGGAAGCAATTTGGTGGCAACATAGTCGAGTTTGACACTTGAAATATGGTTAATCGTTTGCCGGCGACAATACGATTAACTACGTAACTACCCTTTCTATCTCAATTGAACGGTCAACCATATAAACCTTCTCGCAAAGCTCTGTATTGCTAGTTCTTGACCCCAGAAAATGTTGAATGGTTTTTCTTAATTCCTATAAAGCGGAAAAAAGTATAATTAGAATCACCATGAGAGGACGGAATGGGCTTTAACTGTAAGTATCATTTCACGCAGACCTTTTCTCCGCCGGTGTTGGGGAAGAGTGAAATGTGTCAAACTGCAGCAGATCAATTTATCATCGCTTCTTACTGGCGGCCACTTTGATAAATGAACAAAATTAATTTGTCTTTTATACAGCTTTGGAGGAATAAAATCATTCATTATTAGCCAAAGGCCGACGGTAATTGGAAATTCACACTTATTTAGGAAAATATGCCACCTTGCAAATATTCGCCAGTTTGTTTCATCAACTGACCAGTTACAACCAACAAGAAAAAATTCGCTTTTCAAACGTAAAGCGGGACAAATTCCTTCTTGCAAATCATTGCGAAACATTACACGTTCATTTCTTTTTTTAGAATTTGCTTGCATTGTCCAAAGAAATGCAACGCGTACAGAAAAGTGTTAAAACGTGTTTAACACGATAAACGTGTTATAAATATAAAGCTTCGCTAATTACCTTACAAGATGGATTTCCTCTACACCGATATGCATGCAAAAATAAAATTAATAACCAGACTACAATTTTCGGCCTTGTCACGTTGGNTTCACATTATTTGATATGCAGGATGGAAGCAATTTGGTGGCAACATAGTCGAGTTTGACACTTGAAATATCGTTAATCGTTTGCCGGCGACAATACGATTAACTACGTAACTACCCTTTCTATTTCAATTGAACGGTTAACCATATAAACCTTCTCGCAAAGCTCTGTATTGCTAGTTCTCGACCCCAGAAAATGTTGAATGGTTTTTCTTAATTCCTATAAAGCGGGAAAAGGTATAATTAGAATCACCATGAGAGGACGGAATGGGCTTCAACTGTAAGTATCATTTCACGCAGACCTTTTCTCCGCTGGTGTTACAACTAACAAGAGAAAATTCGCTTTTCAAACGTAAAGCGGGACAAATTCCTTCTTGCAAATCATTGCGAAACATTACATGTTTATTTTTGTTTTTAGAATTTGCTTGCACTGTCCAAAGAAATGCAAAGCGTACAGAAAAACGTGTTAAAACGTGCTTAACGCGACAAACGTGTTATAAATATAAAGCTTCGCTAATTACCTTACAAGATG